CGGAGGAGGAAAGCTATATAACTCTCTCTTCTCTCTCTCACACACACACACGCACACACACGCACACACACACACACACACACACACACACAGAGAGAGAGAGGCAGAGTACAAACGTGGCAGACGCGGTAATGTGGGCCAGTCTTGAGCTATTCGTAACTGCTCTGGAAGTTCATATTTGGTTAAAAGTAGAAAACTTGTGTTTATTACTCCATGTAAAACGTCTGGCTCAATTTTTCTGTGCAGGAAGGTAGTCTTTATATGCAGGTTTTCAACTTTGTATATGCTGCCACTCTTTATTAGTGAGCATGTCATGGCACACTTCATTACAGGGGCAAACGTTTTATTACTCTCCCATCCACCATCTCCAAGGATAGTCCTTATGGATGTCATTTCAGATACCTTACCCCACTGGATAAAAATCGCACTAGATTAAAAGGAAAAGCTGCTGTGGAGAAGAAGAGTCAAAACTGCCTTCATCCAACTGCCTTCTGTCCCTACACCCTCTCTCCCCAAGCACTTACTATATTTCAGCTACTTGCACTTCTAGATAGAAGAGCTCCTGAAGGAAAGAAAACATTCAGGAAATGCAGAAATTCTCCTGCATTCACCTCTTTTGCATTTTATCTTTAAAAACTTTATCTCCGTGGCATTATTGGGATCCCCCAGGCTTTTGGTCTTGGGTGATTTCAACGTGCATGCGGGAGCAGAGGAATCTGGGTCAGCTCTTGTTCTTGGAAACCATGGCTTCCTTGAACATGTCCCAACATGTCAACGGCCCCACCCACGTGGGTGGTCACACACTGGACCTGGTCTTTTCCTCCAGTTGGAGCGAATGTGATCTGGTGGTGACAGACCTCGTGTCAGTCCCTTTATCATGGTCAGATCACCACCTAATAAAATGTAACCTCACAGTGGCTCTCCCCCCCCCCCTCGCAGAGAGCAGGGACCTATTGTTATGGTCCGCCCTAGAATGCTACTGGATCCTGTTGGATTCCAGGAGAGGTGTTTCGGCTGACCTGGCCAGCGCTCCTGTCGAGGCTCTGGTTGACAGCTGGTCCACCGCTGCCACCAGGGCCATAGACACGATCGCGCCTAAACGCCCTCTCCATCATAGAGCTCGGCCAGCACACTGGTTTAACCAGGACCTCCGAGCGCTGAAGCGTATGAGGAGAAGGCTAGAGCGTAGATGGAGGAAGAACCCGACGGATTATAACTGGATAGCTGTTAAGGTCGCAACTAACCTTTACCTGAATAAGGTAAAGGCTGCATGTCGATCTTTCTTCGCTAACCGGATAAGCGAAGCGTTAAATCAGCAAGTGGGGCTAGAGCGTAGATCGAGGAAGAACCCGACGGATTATAACTGGATAGCTGTTAAGGTCGCAACTGACCTTTACCTGAATAAGGTAAAGGCTGCATGTCGATCTTTCTTCGCTAACCGGATAAGCGAAGCGTCAAAACAGCAGGCGGAATTATTCAGTATAGTTCGTGACCTATCCGGAACTGGTTCGGGTGATAGGCCTCCCCCTAGTTTCTCACCTGACCAGTTTGCAGCCTTTTAAAAATCTAAAGTGGAGGCCATCCGCCAGGAGCTCTCTCCTTATTTGAATAGTGAGTCGAGCAGAGATGTCCAGTGCTCCGTCTTGCCCGGTAACTTTCGACACCTTTCAGCCTGTCATGCTGATTCTGTAGCCAAGGTGCTTGACCGCTGTCGAGCCACCACCTCCTCCCTTGACCCTTGCCCGGCCTGGCTAATCAAAGCAGCCAGGCCAAAAACAACAGAATGGGCCACAGCAATAATAAATGAGTCTTTCCTTGAGATCAGGTTTCCATCTGCCCTCAAGCAGACACTCATTAGGCCCATTAGAAAGAAACTTAATATGGCGGCGGACGAGATTGGCAATTATAGGCCCGTCGCCAATGTTCCTTTCATGAGCAAAGTGGT